TTGAAATGATAAAATGATGAAAATGGAGAAAGGAAAAGGGTTAAAAATATTTATTCTGAGTAGGAGTCAGAGAAGCCTCTGACCTTGGTCTCTTTGCTTACTGAAGAGGACACTGTCCTCAACTCTATTATAAGATACAGATGAAATGCAATGTAAAAGTGATTCCAAATATCTGTTGCCAGGAAGCAGATGACATACTAAATTGCTCAGTAGATTGAGTGCTTAATTCAGCGATTTCCTGCTGCAGGAGTTGCCAGTATACAGCCATTTTGTCTTTTTTGGCAAGGCGGCTGCTTTTGGACGGCTGTCTCCAGTAGTCTTTCCTATGCTTCCTGTTGTAGGAAGGCCTGTTTCCTGCCACTAGATTCCTGATTAGGTTCTGCACTATTTTAGTCTGCAAAATGCCTGTGTAGAGGGTTGCTTCTCTGCATTTGATACTGATTTGTGGGAAGTGAAGCCAGATCACAGTCTGTCCACAATAGAGCATCCAAATCCTTTGAGAAATCTAAAAAAACAGTGCTGTAGCTAAACTGAAAAGAACTGATGCTTAATGTACTATTCAGAGGTACAATGCAGATCCAGTTATTTATTTTTGTTGTGAAGTTTCACTCTGTTTGTTTCTTTTCATGTTGGAAACCAGGGCCTATCAGCTGCACACTGCCTTTTTTTAAAGTGTCTCTCAAGATTAGTTATCTGCCTAGTTTAGAGGATCTCCTGGTCCAGATTCTTTGTACTTCTGTAGGGATAGAGATGTTTTCTGTCTTCTACTTAGTATATTGTAGACTTAGATTTTTGGCTCTGCTGGTGGTGGGGGTGGGAATACAGTCCTGAAATAACTGGGAAGATTTTGCAGCTATATGATTAACTTCTTTTGACATGGGAGTGAGTGTGTGCTCAAAGTCTGCTACTAAGAAGGAATAAAAGGCCTTTTATTCATCTCCTTAAGCCACAGTACTAAGGTCCTAATCTAGGTCTGAACAAGCTATGAGATATTATTGCTCAAGTCTCCAGGATATTTCTACTACAGAGTTACAAATGCCAAGAAATGAAAGAAAGTTTTGTCCTGACTGCTATTGGTAACATTGACATAGCAGAGGACATGTAAAAACCTAAATAATTTACTTTGAAATATTGTTTCATTCATACATTTTGTTAGTACTCTTTACTTCCCGTGTTGGAAAGTTTCTTACATGCCTGGCCACTGGTTCCCAATTGCTGCATCGTAACTGGTAGGATAAGGGCCCTTGAATTCAAAGGCAGAAAGAAGGTAGTTCAAGAGGTTTTTTGTTTCTCTTATGAGTTGCTCTTCACTCTACATCCTTCTTCTGTATGCCATCATGCAATACCTGTTGTTTGCTCTTGACCTCATGTTTTCCATAGTTAGGTTTGAGGGATGTAGGTGCTGCCTTCAGGACACTGGAGTTCATGTTAACCTAGCTTTACAGTGAGAGAAAGCAGTGTGCTGTTTCCCCTGGGTCGCAGCATAGGGCATTCTTCCTTTAGATCCTTTCTTTCTTCCAACCATTCACCTTTATTTTTTGTTTGTTTTCATAGGATCATAGAATCATTAAGGTTGGAAAAGGACCTCCAAGATCGTTGAGCCCAGCCTTTGACCAAACACCAGTGTGTCAACTAAACCATAGCACTAAGTGCCATGTCCAGTCATTTCTTGAACGCTTTCAGGGATAGTAACTCCACCACCATCCCTGGACAGCCTGTTCCAATGCTTAACCATTCTTTCGGTGAAGAAATTCCTCCTGATGTACAACCTGAGCCTCCCCTGGCATAGCCTGAGGACATTTCCTCTTGTCTTGTCACTAGTTGCCTGGGAGAAGACACTTATCCCCACCTGGCTACAACCTCCTTTCAGGTATTTGTAAAGCCTGATAAGGTCTCTCCTGAGCTTCCTTTTCTCCAGGCTAAACAATTCAAGATCCCTCAGCTGCTCCTCATATGACTTATGCTCTAGACCCTTAACCAACTCAGTTGTCCTTCTCTGGACTTGCTCCAGCAACTCAATGTCTTTCTTATAGTAACGGGCCCAGAACTGAACACAGGATTCCATGTGTGGCATCACCAGTGCTGAGTACAGGGGAACAATCACTGCCTTGGTCCTGTTGGCCACACTATTCCTGATACAGGCCAGGATACCATTGGCCTTCTTGGCCACCTGGGCATACTGCTGGCTCACGTTCTTCTGGCTGTCAACCAGCACATCCAGGTCCTTTTTCAACAGGGGCCACTTTTCAACTGCTCTATCCCCAGCCTGTAGAGCTGCATGGGGTTGCTGTGACTTAAAGGCAGGACCCAGTACTTGGCCTTGGCCCATTGATCCAACCTGTCCAGATCCTTCTGCAGAGCCCTCCTGTCCTCCAGTAGATCAACACTCCCAGCAAGCTTAGTGTTAACTGCAAAATCACTAAGGATGTACTCAATCCCCTTGTTCAAATAATTAAACAGGGTTAGCCCCAATACTGTTTTCTCTTTAATATTTTTCTTTATCCTCCTACTGAGAATCCCAACCTCCTTTTCCTTTGCCATTCTTCATCTTTCTTCACTTTCTAGGTCAGATAATGAAAGAATATAATTCTTTCTTGGTGCAAGTTTACATGAAACATTTTTTAATTTTCTTCAGAAAAATATGAGGAAGTTAACCCCAGCAGTCCTTATCTGGTATTTTAATAAATGAGAAACTTAAGCAGAGGCCAGGAAATTTAAAGTTAATTTAACACTGATCCAGACTGTGGCGTCTGTGTGAAAGTGGTGCTGTTCTGTGGCCCTGTGGTGGAGTCCTGCCTTCATTTTAGCTCTCCTGAACCCTTAATTTGTCTTCTGTAGCATTGCTGTGACTTAGGGATTTTTTTGTTGTTATTGTTTAAATATATGTGTTGGCTCTTGCATGCCTTTGTTATTCCACCTCACTTTTGTTAGGAAACAATTAGATTGTATTTCATCAGGGTCTACTGTAGTCACAGTCTGAGAAACCCTGAGGTTGTGTCATGAGCACACAGACATACACACACACAACACACACACTCAGAAATTTGTACTAGCTGGCAGGCTGCAGCCTTGTGGTTTTTCTCCACAAATCCAAGCCTGTTTCTGCTGTTGCATTTGCAGCTGTCTGGGGGCAACATGACCTGGACAGCCAATAGCAGGTGTTCTCAGCTAGTCTGTGATGGTCTTTTAGTGAAAAATATTGTTTAAGTAATGTAAATGAAATATTCATACATTAGAGGATCTGAGTGTATATTCTTCTAGGATAAGATTCCTTGCAGAAAGAGCTTAATGTTTTATGCAGTAAATTACTCCAGGAACAAGGTAAACAACAACTCCCTTTGCCATATATTATAGCCTAGACCCTAATACACTGTATATGAAGAATACATTAGAACTTCTGCATTAATTTTGGTATTTGGAAGAGCAGATCCAAAAAAGGGGTTTTGGCTGTAAAGTCTCAGGTCAGCTGCAGAAGATAGGGCATACACTTTTTTGAGTTACCAATGTGCTGTTACCATACACGCATCAGGGTAAGTGTCATGCCAGCAGAGCCTCCTGTTGTCTAGTTGGTCTGCCCTATACTGTCTGAAGAAGGTCTGGATGAGATTAGTGGCATTAAGACATTTCTCTTTCAAACTGTACAAGTGTCAGGGAGGTCAGAGGACTTCAAATTCACTGATAAATAAAACCAACAGAAGGAGCCAAAACTAAAAGAAGCAAAGAGTGAAGGGCCAAAACTACTTATCTGGCTTGGGAAAAGGGTATTGTGAAGAAGGTAATTATTCTTACTTGCCAGATAGGAAGGAGGCAGCAGGGTAAAATTGCTGAAATGGCTTAGTCAAACTGTGAGAGGAAAAATACAGGCTCTTGAGTCAGCTGAGTGCTCTTGCTTGGGAGTACAGTCCTATGCTAAGCGCCAATCAATATTTTCTGTTTGCTACCTTTGTATGCCTGTCTAATCTCTGCTGGTATCTGAAGTTTGGCTTCCATCTCCCCTCCCATCCGTCTCTATTAACGTCACCAGCATCCACCTGCAGCTATGTAAATGTTAGTTCTAGCAGCAGTGCACTCTTTACAGTAAACAGCAAACTACCTGGCTGTCTCTGCAGAAAATGTTAATCAGAAATGCTTTAGGAATTATGGATTGGATCCTCTGGTGCAGGAAAATGGATTAGTGGCTGCCTCCTAGGTGACCCATGACAATACAGTCTGATAAGAGTTATCTCTTCATCTAACTTTTGACTTTTCATCTGAGGATACAGTTATGTGGTTAAGTAAGATGAGGTCAGTGTGAGCAAAGACACTTTTTACTAAAGGCAGGGTTCAAAGTTTGTGCCTCTTTCTCTGCACATCTTTCAGGGCCACCAGCCTTGGAATCTCCTGCAGGTCTTTGTCTTCCTCTCGTTGCATCTCTGGCACTACCTTCCTCCTTCTGTACCCACACTGCCTGACACCCCAGAGCTATTCTGTCCCTTGAACTTACAATTTTGCCACAGCCCAGTCCTGTACTCTCCAAGAACAGAACATGACGTGTGTGCTTTATTTTTGAGGTTGGCCAGCATCACAGCCAAAAAATATCTCTGTTTGGGTATGGGCTTATAGCACTGTGGCTACTGTGCACTATTTGTCCTGGTAGCAACATGTGCCGTAGATCGCTTATCAATGCTTTTAAAGAATACATGCAAACCTAGACAGAATTGAATTGCCAAACAGTGTCGTTTGATGAAAGTGCAAACTGTGTTGTGTTAATCAGTATTTTCTGCTTGCTGCCTGTGCAGGCTTGGTCCCTGCCAATATCTCAAGCTTTGCTTACATGCACACTCTTATTCTTCCTCATTAACGTCACTAATCTCTACTTGAACTCCTTGCAACAGAAATACAAAGTGTCAGTGTGCACTAAGTGCAAAGAATGCTTGTCACCATGGCTAAGTGTTAACGTAAATCGTCAGAGTTAATATATAATCTTATCAGATGGCTTCAAAGGTGAATGAAACCCTAGTTCGTAATACCACTGCAGAACAGTTTTTCCAGTTCTTGCACACTGCCAAAACACAGAGGGAGCAAAGAATTTTCCCACTTGATGCTGTTTGATTTTTTTCAATGAAAAGTCAGGTATGACCCACATTCCCTCTCTCTCCCTGCAGAGCTTGAGGAGCTCTGGCACTCACAGCAGAACAGGCATTTCTTTAGGGAGAATAAAGAGGAATCATTTCCTGGGATTTCATGGGCTGTCAAAAGACAGCAGAGCAACCTGGGCTGTATGCATGTATGCTGGTAGATGGTATAAGAGGGTGTATTTTTCTGCATAGACCACAGGGCTGTGAGAGTGGGAACACACAAGTTGTGGGAACTGACTTAATGGGAATTGTATCACTCCTGATCCCACTGAGATGTGTTTCCTACTGACCTCAACGTACACCTTTGGAGACCTGAAAGTAAATATTTTTATTTATTTATATATATTTTATATAATTATTTTATTTTATATAATTATAAAGGTGTCAGGACCTCAGTTTCACTTTTTACTCAAGAAACAGCATTTGTTACAGCAGAAATCACAAGTCCTTTAAGTGCAGGTTTCTGTTAGTGTTGACATGATTTGTAGGAAGTAACCCCCATCATTAACCAGCCTGGTCAAGCATCCAGTGCTTTAAGGCAGGAAGGTAGGGGAGAGAAGAACCTATGCTGACTACAGGTAGCACAGACTTAGGGCAGTGATGCTGGAGGGGCAGCTGCAGTGCCTAAAGAGCACTTGAGTATAAATACGGGCCACCTGCCTTGGTGCCCCAGGCAGGTTAGGTGCTTAGTGACACTCTTCACCTCTCACTTGAACAGAGGGGAAATGGTTTTGGGAAAGTTCATCTTCAGGTGGGTGAAGACACTTGGCAGGTCCAGGGTTGCTGATATCAAGCTGTCTGCCAGGGATGATGGTCAGCAGGGAGCTGGTAGAGGAGACTGCCACACTGGACGCTGCTCTAATAGCACTGGAGAGGATACACTGACTTCTGGGGCTGCCTGTTGCTGAGGGTGCTGAATGTGAACAAAGCCTCAATGCCTTAGATGTCTTAGACTGTGATGTGGGAAAGCTCCAGCAGGACAGGAGCAGGCCTAGGAAATGCAAGATCTTGCTGTCCAGTTCACTAGTTGGACATAAATAGTAGTCTGTGCAGGCATGATTAAAAAGCAGCATTTAAAAAAACCATCCTGACGTATAAACCAGAAAATGAGATTCAAGTTGGTTTGTGTTTTTGTTCGGGTTTTTTTGGGTTTTTGTTTGTTTGGTTTTTAAAAATATATATACTTTTTCTTCCATGGTGCTTGTTTATTACTGCTAGGTAGCTTATTATCTCAGGGTTGCTGATTGACACTGATATGTGTTTAATCAGGGTAAAGAATAATTTTGATACATTTTAAACATCTTCTTTTTCTCTTTCCTCTAGTCCCTGTAAAAAGTTACACAAAGTTTAGAGATCAACATAATGAAAAGTGTGGGAAGAAGTTGGGTCTGTTGTGAGCTAATATTGAATGGTAGCTGAGTTTTTTAGAAATCAGGGGAGATTGTTATCCATGACAGTGATAATGTCTGGCTTTCCCTAGGCCTGTGAAAAAAAGAGAGGTGTCAATCATAACTTTTCTCCTGATAAGGTGTAAATAAAGATAATGGTTCTAGTGATGAAGGAAAGTAAGTCTCCAGTATCTAAGTATCAACAGCAATGTATTTCAGTTTGTAACATTAACATTTGTCTTTCAGAGTTGTGCAACTAGTGCTGGGATGTTGGCATTGCAATCTTGTATTAAAGAACCCACTGTCTTTTGCAACACTTAATAACTCACATTTAAAAGTGAATTTATTTTGCTCTAGCACTGCAATAAGTTATCCTCCCCCACACATCAGCAAACCAATGTTATTTAAAGAGTTAAAAGAAATATTTATGAGACATTAAACAAAGAAAATACTTTGAGAACAGAAAGTGAAACCGGATAATTTAAGAATTTATAGTAGCATATTTTTTGTATTTTTCTTGTTGTATCATGAATAATTGCTTATCCCCAACATGTGTGTGTTAGAAGGCTGTACGTTTATTTGGGGGTTTAGAGAAAAAAAGCAAATAATTCAAAGGTCCCTTGGGACCTCTTCCAGGCCAGATTTGAGAGGTGTGTTCCCAATACCTTTAGACAGAGGGTGAAATCAAGTATTCTGAACTATGGCTAAATCAAACACAGACTTTAAATGCTGTATAGAAGTAACCTGTGATTTGGGACCACTGGCTAGACGACACTCTGGAAGAGAGTAGAAGAGGAGTGTGACACAGTCATCTCTCAGTCTCATCTCAGCGATGACCTAGCTAATTCCTCAAAAGCAAGACTGGTGCTACTGGTTCCCAGCTGAAATGTCAGGTACCAGTTTACCAGGATGCTGAACCAGTAGAGTCAAAGGCTTACTGAGACAAAATCTGGGCCATTCATGAAATGCAGATAAACCAGTGCCACATGATTTTGTTTCTTAGAGGAAGGTACTGCCACAAACCATGTTCAAGTGAGCTTCTTAGTGCCTGTAACTCTCTTTTGAGTTATGTCACCCAAGGTGACAGGAAGCTTGATCTGTTTTATTTTTCAAACTCTATCTTTGCATACAAAATTTATTACATATTTCACAAACTAGAGATTATATTTCAAAATCAAATGACTTACGCTCTGTATGTAAGTCTCAGAACTTACTCTTCCTATGCCAGAGCTTCTCCTACCTTGATCTAGTTGAGTTGTGACTCTCTGCTTTCAAAGAAAATTGGGTTGAAAGGAGGACATGAGCATTTCTATCTTTGGATCAAGGAGGTGTGTCAGAGGAATATGGGTGCAATGCAATAAGAAAGTGATTTCTTTGACTTTTCTTTGTGTCCATGCAGCAGACTTGAGTCAAAGTAGTGTTCATTGTGTAGCGCAGTGTTTCACAATGTAGCGTATGGGTATGGAACACTGAAAAGAGACAAATGTAGGCAGGAGGTTAATCCTGGTGACATATGGATCAGATTTTCTTACATACAGTGAATTTTATACGACAGTATAAATATATATGTGTATTTATATTCAATCAGATCCTATGAAACATAGCAAAACCTCATAGTGCATGACACCATAGGTCTCGTGTCGCTCCGATACCAAGCCAAAAGCAAACGCAATCTTCTGCACTCCTGCTCATCACCTGAAATCCTAAGGAAACATTTTATTGCTATGATACAGCTAGTAGTTTCATACTTTAAAAGCTGGTACAGTATTGTTTTTATCATTATGACAAAGAGATAAGTGTTTTCTGGCTGTTCCAGCTGCTACCTTGTTTCAGTGGAAATCAGTTTGAGAGAAGTACAAACATTGCTGAGTTTGAAGCCTCAGGACTGAGTTGACCACTCTCATCACAAAGGTCAGTCTGAATTTCTTCTACTGCATCTAGTACACTTTTTGCTGTTTATATAGGTATCAAAAATGAAAGAAGAGGGGCCAAGTATTAATTGCTTTCTGCACAGTTGGTAAGGAAGTACAAACAGCAAAAAGATCTTTCCCAGACATCCTGCTAGATAATTGGCCACCCACAACTGCAGTCCTGTTTAAGGTCTTCCCTCCTACCCTGGTTGAATCAAAGAAACAGGACAGCAGGACGTATATCCATAGTTTCATTCAACACAGCATCATTTCTGCTGCCAGTGAGAGCTAGAAACATGTGGGAAAGCAATTTCTACTCAGGCAGTAGTCTCACACTGCTGTACATAGGGTAAGTTGGAGGAAATGTATCTGTTTAGGACTTAGTACCACTCCACTCCTTTATGGGAACAGCTTCAGAATTTATCTGTAATGAGACTACCTGTCTAATTGCACTCAGCACGTTACCACTAAAGAAGGGGAGAAGCAGACCTATTCATACGGGAGGCGAGTGAGGCAAAACCTACCTGTGTATTAATGACCATGCAAGTGGCTGACTGAATGACTTGTTTGAAAAATAGAGGTTTCTCTTTGTAGCTCCTTAGTCCACAGCAAATAATGTCTGAGGCACCTTTGTCGCTTAATTTGTTACAGTTAGTCACCATAGTAACCAATAAAGTTCAGACTAAATTCCATGAAACTGGTAAAACTTATATGTATAATATAGCAAACAAAGAAATACCTTAGATACCAGGTGCTTTTGCAGTTTCTCTGCATTTGTGAAAGCAGAACAATTCCTTAACCCTGAAAGTAGTTAAGGCTTTTATTTTAATTTTGACCCAATCTGGAACATACTGTGATTATTTTGGGGCTACGCATTTATTTTGCTTTTTATTGACTGTCTAACAGCCCTCCTTATGTACACTAAACAATGGTTGTAGGTGCAGTACAAAACCCAAACATAATTTATGTCGCAGGCCTTTTTCAGCCTGAATTATTAAGGGAGGAACAAGCATGGACTTACAGTCAGAGAAACAAGTAGACACAGCAACTATCTAAATCTTGACAAATTACTTTTATAGGCTTTGTAAATTACAGTAAAGAGTTTTCAGGAGGGTTCTGAGTAGGAAAGCTTTACTGAAGTTTGTGGAGAGATTTCCAAGGCATGGGAACAGGTCTGGATATATAACTCTTAGGTGGCATGAGTGGCTACAATATTTTTGAAAGGAAGAATCAACAAGTCAGCAATGAATGAAAGATAGTCCATGAGATCATTATACCACAGAATCACTGAGGTAGGAAATGTCCTGTTGAGGTCATCTAGTCTAACATCCCGGTTCAAGCTGGGTCAGTGAGAGTAGTTTGTTCAGGACAGTGTCCAAGTGGGTTTTGAATATCTCCAGGAATGCAGGCTCTACAATCTTTCTAGCCAAGCTGTTCCAGAATCAGAATAAGAAAGTATTTTCCAAAGTTTAAATGGATTTTCTTGTATTTCAGTGTGTTTACATTGCCTCTTTTCATATCACTTGATATTGCTGAGAAGAGTCTGAGAAAGGGCACGATGGTATGTAAAGTGCTACAAAGCTAAAAGAACCTGTCTCTATTTCACATTAGAGAAAAAGAAGAAATGTGAAACATATCTCAGATGAACACAAGCCATAGGAAAGCAAGGTGTATGAATAGAAATGACTGGAACAAGA